TGTAGGCCTGGCGAAGGGAGAGCAGCCGAGGGGTGTTGTGGTGGATGACGAGCTCCAGGGCGAGGTGGATCAGAGAAAGACCCGGGACGGTAAGAGCATAAAACAGAAGAGCAGTTTCGGGCTGGGTTTCAGCTGCACGAATTGACGCAGCACTTGTCGTGGGCGCTGTGTTGGACAGCGAGATGGACGCATCGGGTGTCGTCTCCCGTTTGCCGAATATCGAAGAATTGGCTTCAGCGTCGGCGTCCGTAGCCAGACGGTCCGCGATGTCTGTATGGGGCTTCGCCACACAATAGGCGTAGATGGCCGCCAGGATCAACGTGCTGAAAGCGAAGACAAGAAGGATTGGTAGCAGCACGGTCCGGAATTTGTGCAGTCGGTACAAGACTGGGTTGCGAGGTCGTGGAGGAAGTGTTTGGCCCACGTCTGTGGCAGAGTGAGACTGCTGGTTGGAGATCAGGAAGGCCCCATTGCCTGAGCTCTTTCGACGAGGATTGAATCTCATTGTTGGAACGGGGTGGTTGTTGTCGTGATTGGGATTAGAGATTATAATGGTCTTCTTGTTCGGGTTGTTGTGTGGCGTCCAGCGCAAAAAGTCCCAAAGCCTTTTTCAAAAGGGTGAGATATAGATGTTTGCTATCCCCAGCACCGCCCACAAAAAGTTAGGAACAGGATTATAAAACCAAGAGGGACAAACAAGGAGATGGAATGCAATAATACCACAACAACAAGAAGAAAAACAGGCGAACACGAAGCGCGAGGTACGAGGGCATATCTACATATGTCGCTCCAGGCTCGCCCAACCTTTTGTTCTCTTGCACATGTATGTCCTCGACGGTGGTCAGCGGTAGATGCCACAGACATCGTGGGCTGGGCCAAGGACTCTGGCTTCGCTGATTGAACAGGTCAGAGGTCCGCCTTGTGAGGAGCAAGGTACAACCTCGTCCAGTGCATGGACGTGGCCATGCGCAAGTTGAGAACTCAGGTAGGCGAGGTCGGTGGAGGGCCGTGGGCCGAACTATTCTTATCCTTTGGGGGGAACAGAGCCTCAGCAGACGAGAAGCATCGACAGCCAATGAATCGGGAAGGCATCGTGGAAGACTCGACACGGAAGGCGTCATCGACCATCTGCGTGGCGGATGGCGGCTATTTGTGGCAGAGACCAAAGGGGGTTGTTGGGGGTTGTTTCGCATATACAAGATTCAAGAGAAAGGGGACGTTTCATGTTTTGCCGCCGAGCGTCAATTGGCCCCATGGATTATGAATGAGCGTTTCAGTTTCAATCGAGTTTGGTACGAGAATAGAATTTCGAGTACCGAGCAGAAGTGTCATAGCAGTTCCATGTTCGAGATACAAAGATGCTCGATCTACCCGGCTCATCAGTATACAAGACAGATGTGCCTGGTTGTTTTAGAGTCTATACAAGGCCTATATGGTATGTACGAAGAGATCATTTTCCGGCCACACTCCTCCATCTTACTCACAGCGACGAATCAAAACTTGCCGCAACAACACACATCTCACACATCTTCTACTCGTATATACTGAATGTATACTGTGTGTGTACAAAGATGGACAACCAAGTCTTCCACCGTCGCTTTGAAGGAGGGGGTTTCACCGACATCATTTTCCGGTGGAATCATGAATATCTCGGCACAAATCCCGGCAAACTGACCTCTGGGCCTTAACGATCTTAAGCTTCCCTCGGCTTCCCATTCTGTTCCTCCTTCTCTTCCCAGCTTAGCACCTGGACAGTGGTCAACACGTACTTCGCACCCTGCATACACCCGCGCTCAAAGCACGTAACGACAAACGCGGAACAGAACCTCGAGGCCGCACGGATGTTCGGCATCCATTTTACCCTTTTCTGCACTTCTTCATCGACGACATGCGTGCATGCCCCCCAATCTCTAGGGGGTCTTCGTACAACTAGAGAGCCTGCCGGTGGGTGTCCAATGACTCCTTTCGCCCTCAGGGTCACTCCTGGCGCCCTGTTCGAATAACAGATCTTTATCTGTCTATAGGCGGGGGACCTCGGTGCCCTGCGTATCCATACCGCTGATGGCAATTATCCATCCCCACTTCCATCCATAACGATATCCGGTGCCTCGATTCATGGAGAGGGAAGATGGCCCTTGTTTCCACTTTTTTTTCCCCCGTGTCTTGCCTCGCAAGATGTACTGTCTGCTTTCAAATCATTTCACCGTCTTGATTTGTCCTGCATTGGGAAGCTCTGCTGTGTGTTGCAAGTCTTGGTCAAGGACTCGTTGTTGCGGCTCGATTCGTGAAGAGATCTCAGCATTGCTCTCGAACCGATCGCTGTGTTCGTAGTCATTCCCCGAGCGAGACCTCGCAGGATTCTCCTTGGCTGCAACAGCCCACCGCTTTTCTTCGATCATGAGCTCTTCGACCATCCTCGAAGATGACACGGAGGAGAAACACTTGTCGGCCTCGAGGCCAGAGATAATCCGAATCCAGTCGAACGTGGAAAAGGCTATTGACGCAGAGGCAAATGTGAACATCACACCCGCTTCAGATCAGACACCTTTGGGCGATGGAGATCGTGTCGACCCGGGGCCCCCTCCAAATGGTGGCTTTACTGCGTGGATGCAAGTGGTCGGCTCCTTCTTCCTCTTCTTCAATTCCTGGTATGCCATGACCCCGGGTCTCTAAGTGATATATGTGTGTGCTCTTTGAAATTGACCTGAAGGGCCAGGGGTACTGTCAATGCCTTTGGCGTTTTCCAAACATATTACGAGACGAACCCGCTCTGGCATGCTTCACCCAGCGATATCTCGTGGATCGGATCCATTCAAGCCTTCCTGCTGTTGCTCGTCGGGCTGGTGTCAGGTCCCTTGTACGATTCGGGGTACTTTCGCGAGCTGATCACGATCGGGGCGATTCTCGTGCCCCTAGGGTTCATGATGACCTCGCTGGCCAAGGAGTATTGGCAGACAATGCTGGCCCAGGCATTCTGCGTCGGCGTCGGCAACGGGTGCGTCTTCGTCCCCTCGGTCGCCATCCTCCCCCAGTACTTCTCCTCGCGCAAGGCGCTGGCCAACGGGCTCGCCGCGTCCGGCTCGAGCCTGGGCGGTCTGATCTACCCGATCGTGTTCCGGCGCATGCAGCAGGAGGTCGGGTTTGCGTGGGCGACGCGCACCATCGGCTTCATCTCGTTGGTGACGGTGTGGTTCTCGGTGCTGGTGATGAAGCCGCGTGTCCTGCCCAAGCAGAGGCGGCCGCTGACCGACCTCGCCGCGTTCAGGGAGCTGCCGTATGTGCTCTTCTGCGTCAGCATGTTCTTCGGCTTCGTCGGCCTGTACGGACCTCTCTACTACATCGGTCCATACGCGATCCAGAACCACATCACGGGCGAAAACCTGGGCTTCTACCTGCTCCCCATCATCAACGCGGCCAGCATCCTCGGCCGTATCATCCCGAATATCTTCGCCGACAGGATCGGCCCCTTGAACGTGCTGGTCCCTTGCGCCACCATCGCGGCCGTGCTGGCTCTGGCGTGGATCGGCATCAAGTCCCTCGGCGGCCTCCTGGCCTTTGCCCTCATCTACGGCTTCTTCAGCGGCGGTTTCGTCTCGCTGCCCCCGGTTGCCATCGTCACCCTGACGCACGACATGAGCAAGATCGGCACCCGCATGGGCCAGTGTTTCTTCATCAGCGCCTTTGGCCTCCTCGTCGGCACCCCGGTCTCTGGCGCCATCCTCAAGGGCACCGGCGAGTGGTTGGGCGTGCAGCTTTGGAGCGGCGCCGCCATCCTCGTCACCGGAGCTTTGATGCTCTGGGCCCGTGTGTCCGTCGCCGGCTGGGCTCCTTTGAAACGTGCATGAATGGGCTTTTTTTCCCCCCTCGCTTACTCTCACACAGACAAACACTCTCGCCGAGCCTCAAACCCGCCGAGGAACGGATGAGCTCACCACTCCCGTTTTGACGATATCACACGCCAACGAGCTTGGCTAGCCAGCTATATAGCTAGCTTTGTTTAGTTGTGCGTGCATGTATATATGTCTTCAAGAGACCAACAAATCCAGTTCAGGCTCGGCGGCTAGAGCTGCAACGCTGCTCACATCTATAGCAGCCCTCCAAAGATATATGCATACATGTACGCATGCACGCATTCATGGCCAGACAGACAACCCCTGTCGGGATTACCTAGTATCTTCAGCCCGCTTCAGACACGCATCTGATGACTCTCACAGCCTGCCAATATCAAGCGGGAGTGTCCTCCCGTATTCACCATTGCCCCTTTTTTTTGTCAAAGGAGAACTCGATCTCTCTTTTTTCACACACAACGCTGCTGCAGTCAGTGCGGCTATATCGTGAGCGGATCACCTCGCGACATACGAGTAAAGGGGAACCCAGCCTGTTTGGGTTTTTCGGGGAAAGGCGGACCTGGAGCGAAGAAGGGAGAGGGGGAGTTAGTTATGTCTCTGGCGCCCAACCAGTCGGCCAGCTGACGAACGAATGAATTAATCCCAGCCCAGGCAGGCAGGCAGGCAGGCAGGCAGGCCAGGAATTCTTGTACCGGGTGCCAGGTCCCAAGTCCCAAGTACCAGGAACCGACGAACACGGCGAAGTGAAAGAGACAACTGAGCACCGGATGGGAGTTTGTGAGGATGGTGGTTGGGTGGGTGGGTGGACGGACGAGCAGATGAGCAAACAAGGAAACGAGCAAACAGAGCTCACGTCGTAAGTGCTGTCACAGTCACAGTCAGTCGCAGGCGCAGGCGAAGACTTCGCAGTCCGCGTAAATCGTCGATACTAACAGGCAAAACAAGTCGAGGGAGGACACGACTACAGGAGAAGCGATGTAGGTAGAAGGTCAAAAACAGACACACTTCTACTCAGTGGTTCAGCTTCTACAACTCATTACTTATTCCTGGCACATGAAAAGCTCATGTCTGATTTTCCGTTCCTTGATCTGTTGTACATCTACGCCTTGCTGTATAGCTGACCAGCTGCCGTGTATCTCACTTCTGACACATTTACCACGCGTGCACATCCACCAGATTCAACCAATTAACCACCCCCATGGCCTTGACCAGATTGCCCTTCAGGTCCAGGTGAACGCCGTCGTATTTGGACGATTGCACGCTCATGTTCCAGGTGCCCATGGCCTCGACGCCTCTCTTGGCGGCTTCGTTACGCACGCTCTCCTCAAAGATCATCAGGGCCTTGTCGCCCTGACTGACCAGCCACTCATCCGGTTTCCTGACGCCCGCGGCGTTGGGCGTGATGAAGAGGCGCGGCCAGATGGAGTGGGCGTGTCGTTTGTTCACTGCCGACAGGTACGGGGCTTGGAGGAGCGTGTGGTCCAGAATGCCGTCCAGCCAGTTCATCGTGGCTTGGAGGTCGAGGTCGTTCCATAGACCGTGGCCGAAGATGAATGCATAGGGTTTGCCGGGTTTGGTGGGCAACAGCAGGTCCTTGTACCGGTTGACTTCCTCATTGTCGAGAGGAAACCGGAGCATCATCTCGATGACCAGGTCTATGGGGCTCTCGCTCGGACAGGCTAAGCTCGACAGGTCGTGCTCGAGGACCGACGAGGTGGAGAATATTCCCTGTACAGAACACGATTTAACGTCCATCTGGTGGTTGCAAAAGCATTCACGCCTGTTTTGAAAATCCACGTGTCAGTAAAACCAGGTTCCTTCACACGTCCAACTGAGCTGTGAAGACGAGCCTGCACTTACAGTTCCTGGTCATCAAAGTTCCAATTCGTCACTGCTCCGTATCCGAGATCTTTGCGCAGAAGCACATTCAACGCTCCCACTACGTGTCTCATCATGCTGTCACCCACAACAATGACCTTTTCGAATCGAGAGAAAATCTCGCAGACCTCTTCTGTAGTGAACCAGCGCATATCGCACCCGAGTGGAATAAAGGGTCGATTGAAACCGATCCTTCCACCGCCCGAGAAGGCCTGTAAGAAGTCCTTCCGTGTAGCACACAAGGGAGAAAAGGCAGAGTGCAAGTCGAGAGAGGAAATTTGGCATTCGCTGTGATTTCGCCAGGCGTAGTTTTGAAAGGTGTCGATTGTGTCTGGTGCTCGGTAGGTGGAGTTTTCTGGCGGCTCAAAAGCCGGGAGGGAGGCGGTGGCTGGATTGTAGCCGAATTCGACATTGATACATGCAGAGAGACCAAGGAATCGACCGGACTGTAGTCGTATTGTCAGTAAACGCTTTGAACGCAGCCTCTCAAACCTGCTAAACATACCAACAAGCCGTAATGAGTCAACTTGCATAGGAAGAACCAGGCCACGAAGAAGAGTAGGAGGAGCTGGATGAAGCGGCGCTTGAGCAGCACGCGCAGAGGCACCGGACGAAACTCCATCCTGACCTCGCCGGCTTCGAGGTCGTTGACGTTAGGAGAAGGTGGAGGAGAGGAGCCGGTGATGGTGTCAGGGCGGCAGCGACGCCGCAGGGTTGATGGGCCGGAAAAACTATCCGCCGGTCAGTTTCTGGCTTGTGCCAGGCGGTCGACAACGATGTATATGGATTCACTCACCTCATCGTGTTGTGATGATGACGGAGAAGGATCGGAAGATTGTTATTCCGAGGACATGATGTAGGGCAACTGCCTTGGGAAGCCCATCACTCAGGGTGAGGCAGACGCCATGCACTGTCACCGTCTCCATTGTCCTTGCCAGAGTGCTGTCACAACGGACGTCACATTCAATATCAGCTTTGAATGAGTTGTCCGTCCAGTCTCCAGTCGCAGACTTCACCATCACTCCAGTGCCCATGGCATCGTCCTTAGATCAAACGGTATCATTCTCTTGCCAACCCCCGGGCACTCTTCCCCAACAACTCCTGGTGCAACTGATTTGCGTCCAGAATGCTCGCAGTCATCAAAGGATACGTGGGGTGTTGAATGTGCACAAAACTCTTCATTATTTCATTTTCACCACTTCATGATTTCAATCACACGCGAGTGGATAGCCAACCTCCAGAAATCGGCTGCAAGGGCTCCTGAAGGAGCGGTAGAGTCTTTTGCCTCCGCAGTTCAACCTGTAGATTCTCCTCATCCCATCTCCTCCTTTCGGTTCGAGCCTTTTCAAGCTGTTGCGTTCTGCCCAGACCGAGCCCGAAGAGGCCCTTGCCGCTCTCAATTTCTTGTTCCTTCTTGGCCGCAAGTCGTGCCATCTGTTGAGACATAGCTTTCCAGTTCTGAAGTCCGGTTTCCAAACACTCGCGACATCGATCCCTTCCATCTTGCTCCTTTTGTTCGTCCATTACCCACATAATCGCTTCGGCGGCCTCGACGCTGTCTCTAGTCCAGCTGAGGCCTTTTGCTCGCTCGCTATCACTTGTGGCAAAAAGGATCTCACCGATATATGTCATGAGTCCTACTTCTTCGCAAGCTTCCTTCAATGTGTGATATGGCCTTTCGTTGCCTGTAGCCGGAGGTGGAGGATATGGCCTCTCAACCAGTAAATCTTTCAGAGCATACACATAAGACAGCCAGCCTTCATCCTTCTCAACTTTGACTCTTGATGGCGCAATGGCCGGGCCAAGAGGAGATGCAGGCAGAGTCTTTCTCGCTCGGAGGACGCTGAGAAATATCGGGAGGGCCTTCTTGACGTTCCCGTCTTTGACATGATGAACTCCAAAGGCAGTGCTGACTCGCAGGATGTTTTCGCTCACGGCATCTTCTCGCCCTTTGAGAATCATTCCCGTCTGCGTGTCAATCACGTCTGCGATTCCCGTCGGCAAACCCGTTTGAGCAATCTCTGCGGCTTTGACGTACAGGCCCTCAGCTGCAGCGTTATTTCCCTTGAAATCACACCAATCGGCATAGGCAAGAGCTGCCTCCAATCGTTGCCGCGTATCAAACCCAACAGTGTTCAAGATCTTCTCGTAGAAAACAGATGGAGGTGGGAAAGCGTCTTCCACTTCTTCCGCAGGCGGTGGACTGATATGGCCATGCTTCCTGTCATATGGGAGTGGCTTTGGGCGTGGATTGCTAGGTGAAGGAATGCTTTCCCAGGGATACACCCGACCTCCTTCATCGCCTTTCAGCTTGCACATGCCCTCTAGGTGTTCAGCTACACGTGCAGCACCCATCAGAGCTTCGTGATACCCTCGCCGCCACGGCTCGCTCTTCGCATTCACGTTGAACCCCTCAGCTGTGCCCGCAGGTGACGACTCCGTTTCCGTGTGCTTGATGAGGAACTGCCCGTCCACCTTTTCATTCTCCAGCCGCTCGAGGACGTTCAGATATAACCGACCAGCTTTTGCCCAATCCGTCAGGATCTGGTTCACCTTGGCGCCGTCTGCAAGCTCGGTAAATTTTGCCTCGCGCATACACCACCGACTCCAAAACGACCAATCTCCGGGAGTGGGATAGTCCCGTTCCAACTTCGTGTGCACCATGCCCATCGACAGAACGGTAAGCAGGAGAGCCGCGGGCCAGAGGTAGGCATTGATGCGGACGTAGCGCCAGAATTGTTCCTTCCAGCGTTGTTTGCGTTCGGTGGAGATGAATCGTCCGACGGACTTTTGGAGCGCGTTGCCGCGAGAGGACGGATACAGAAAGGGAAGCTGCGGGCGCAGAATCGGTCGTGCCACCACTAACAACGAGGTTTTGTGTGCGAAAAACCTCGGCCGCGGAGGTCTGGGGGAGAAGAAATCGTGGGTTCGAATGCTATGCCGATACGTTCTCGAGGTGTGGCGAGCGGTCGGCACGGCAAGCTTTGAGAACGCCATGATGGCCAGTGATACTCAATCGGCGCCAGGGCCGTCGAGAACAGAGTGAGGTATGCCTCTGTCCCCAAGAGGTTGTGTTCAAGACTTAATTGCGAGTGCGATGTCTTGTCTGCTCTCCGCAGGAACTGAGGAGTTGTCGATCTCGGTGGATCATTAACTGTGAAGCGCAGATTCTACGGTGCTCCAGGGTTTCCATGCCGCAAGGCTGTCTCTGTTCTGTCACTCTCCGTTCCTGCTTTGGGGATCCCCCTGCTTTCTTTGTTCAGCCTTCTTACTCCCACGATTTCGAAGCACTTACTGTGCGCAACTGACGATTGGGACTCTGATAGATTCTGAGATCTACTTCATTTGAAGTTTAGATCCATACAGTTTACACCCTGCTCCCGGCGTTTTGCGGTAAGTGGTACCTGCTGGTCGACACGAACTTATGCCCGTAATCCTTACAGCTCGTCAGAACCATTACTCGAACATTTATTCTCATCTTGTCATTGAGACTTGCCCACACCAGAAAACGTCGCTCTTGCTCCGCTGAACCCGTTTACACATTCAGAGGGGGTGTCTTGAATTCCCACTGGCACGATGATTCAGCGACAAGTTCTCCGCCGGAACATCCATGCCCTTAGGCCTCCCAACGGCTTGGGCGCCAAGGGGGGACATCTTGGAGAGTCTGCTATGCCTGGGAGAGGTCACTTGTGGGTGGGTAGGTGGGTGTCACAGGGCTTCCCAATCGTCAGCACTAGCCATACGTGCATTGCAGTGCAGATTGCAGCGCAGCGTCCTCGAATCTGTCCAACCTTCGCATCCCCAATTCGACCCAGGGATTGATAGATTCGGATGCAGGATAAGTAATCAGTTTCTTGGTGTTACCCATTGCACACAAGTCAGTGACAATCATAGACCTCGTATTGTCTGGAAATGAATACAGGAATTGGATCCAAGGTTTGATTTTGGTTTTGGTTTCTGCTCAGCGAGCAACAAAGGTCTATAGACACTATGATTCATGGGTGGTACCCCGTAGATTGTGGAATGGATGCTGTGCCGCTCGAACCGTCAAGGGTCAAAGACACAGGGTCACGCAGAACCCCTGAGTTTGGCGCAGATTATACCGGGAACAATAAATCCTTCTCGTATACATGCACGACCGCCTCTTAGTTACGCCTAAAAGGATTTTGACCTTTTTTATGTGTGGCCATTCCTCCCTCCGTGAACCGAACCTGGGAAACCTTAGCGATTGTAGCGAGTGACTGCCATCCCGATTTTGGCTTCTACTCCTCCTCATGCTTCAAGTCGCCGAGGGAATTTTCCACCCCTTGGACTGCCACAGGGGAGTACTTTTGCTGGCTGGGCGACTGGCCAGTTTCCGGAGGACGCGGGCCGATTGTGTCTTTCGCGTGCCATCATCAACACTGAAATCATTGACGATTAACGCAATGGATGCCCGAAAGACGTCTGGACTTTTTTTTTCGGATCCGTGTTGATTTTTCCCGTCTTTGACTGTTTCCGAGGGCGCGCGGAACAGGAACCATGACTATACTCGTGCTCAGTCTCTCATCGTTCCCTCGCAGACGAGGAGAAAGCTTCAAAGCAAGGCGAGTATGCTCAAGGCCGAGAGGACCAAAGCCATCAGAGATCGTGGCAAGCCAGTCGTCGGGGCCGCGTTGCCCACCTGCTGCGACAGGGTCGAGTCCTCGACCACCTTGACGCACGTCAGATGAGCTTCTGGCAGTGCGAGATTCTCAGAGCCGGAAGACGTAGACGGCTTGTAAAAGACGGTGAGCACCGGCGTGATGCTGTAGAAGAAGGGCGCGATGTCGCTCGAGACGTCTTCCGAGGTGACGGTCTGGGTCTCGATCAGGGCGATGTTGTACTTTGAGCCACTCGAGACGCTGGACGATGGGTGGCACGTTGTCTGGGCGATCGGTGCGCCGACGGGGGATTGAGAACCGGTGATCTCTACAGAGCCTGGGTCAGCATGCATCACTCAGACGGGGGGTTTTCACATGTTGAATCCTCACCTTTCGGGACGATGGTTCCCCATGTCACTGTTGCTATCGTTTGACACGACTGCGGAGGGTTTGCTTCCATCGTCGTCTGCAAAGCAGTGCACACTGCGCCGTTGTCGAGATTGTTTGTCGACCCAAGTGTCTGGACCTGCTTCTTGGCCTGGGCCAGAAGGTCATTGACACAAACATCTTGCAGTGTCTGGGAGCATGTGACGGTGCCGTACTCCGTGACACCATTGAGTGGGAGGCTCCTCGCGATGCCTTCAAAAAACAACGCACAACCCGCAAATCCGGCCGGGCTCGCGAGGTTCATGGACGGAGGAGCGCCGAGATAAAAGTTCTTTGTGAAGGTGATGCCGCTGGCGTTGGACGACGAGGCTCCGACGGTCCAGGTGAGCGGCGCATTGTTCGGGGACAGGCTGCTGTTGAACGAGGCTGTGCCGATGAACGAACTTGTCGTGTTGCCGAGCGTGCATTCATTGTCGGCCCCGCCGTTGCAGTCGAGCACGTCGCAGCCAACGAGCTGGGAGGAGGTGTGGTGGACGAGGAGTGACAAGCATATTGCCAGTGCCCAGATGTTGCGGTATGGCAAAGACCCTCTTCGGCCACAGGCAGGAGACAT